GTCCGATTTACATATATAAGGAAACTCTGACCTGCCGAAACTAAACTACTGCAACAATGGTGACATTGGCATCCAGACGCTTCGCTGTCGCGATATTCGCTATCGCAGCCGGGCTGGTTCTCCAGGTTCATGCGCGATATTCGCTATCGCAGCCGGACTGGTTCTCCAGGTTCATGCTGAGAAGCAATGGTGGCAAACAACGACTGTCTATCAGATTTGGCCGCGATCCTTTAAGGACAGCGATGGAGACGGAATTGGCGATTTGAATGGTAAGTAGGACGTACGGAATTAAATTCTAAGTGACGTCACTGTGATGTTAATCAGTCTAAACGCCATCAGGTATCACAAGCAAACTGGAACATCTAAACGACATGGGAGTAGAGACAATATGGATATCGCCAATTTTCAAAAGTCCACAAGTCGACACTGGCTACGACGTCTCCGACTACTTAGACATAGACCCAATGTATGGGACTTTGGAGGACTTTGACAATCTAGTAGCTCGCGCCAAGGAACTTGGAATCAAAGTGATTCTGGACTACGTTCCTAACCATACCAGTTCGGAACACGAGTGGTTTAAGTTATCCGAAAACAGTGTCGACCCCTATACTGATTATTACGTGTGGCACGAGGGAGTTCTGGATGCAAACGGTACCAGAAGACCACCAAACAATTGGTTGAGCGTCTTCAACAGCGGAAGTGCTTGGGAATGGAGCGACAAGCGACAGGCTTATTATCTTCATCAATTTGCAGTAAGCCAGGTAGATTTCGACCTCAGGAATGAATTAGTCATTGAGGAAACGAAGGTAAGCCATAGTTACTAGTGAATAATGAATAACGAATAGCACAGTTCTGTAACTCATTAAATTGCTTCCCCACTAGAAAATAATTTCGTACTGGCTGGATCGCGGTGTTGCTGGTTTACGTATAGATGCACTGCCACATATCTATGAGGATGCTGAATTAAGAGACGAACCGATATCAGGACTACCCGTACCTCCTACTGACTACGGATACCTAGATCATATCTATACCAAGCATTTGATTGAGAATTATGAACTTGTTCGGATATGGAGAGATCACTTTGATGAATATAATTCAAAGACCACTGATGGTCTAGAGCGCGTCATGTTTACTGAGGGATACGGCACTACAGCTCAGACGACTTTATACTATGATTACGGTGCTCACATCCCGTTCAATTTTCTCTTTATTTCGAACTCCACTGTTTCCTACAATGCTGAAACTCAGTCACCTGCAGAAATCAAGCATAATATTGAGCAATGGCTTCAGAGCATGCCTGAAGGCGCAACACCCAACTGGGTCGTAAGTTTGAAATACATTTTTGTGCTTTTTAAATTTTAAATTATCATGTAAGAAATCCAATTAACAGCTCATTATTCCGTTATCAGATTGGAAACCATGACAATATGCGCATGGCCACGCGTTTCGGCTCCGAGAAGGTGGACACTTTCAACTTCATTTTACTTTTGTTACCTGGCGTCATGACGGTTTACAATGGTGACGAGATCGGCATGACGGATACGTATCTAACTTGGGAGCAAACAGCAGATCCTCAGGCCTGCAACACTGATCCTGGGCGTTATCAAGGATATACTAGGGATCCTCAGCGCACGCCTTTCCAATGGGATAATTCTACGTCAGCAGGTGGGCAATCGGTTGTAGGTTCAGGTACATTACTGTCACGTGGAGTATACCTCAATGTTATTTTCATTTTATCAGGATTCTCTACGAACACCAGGGTGTACTTGAAAGTGAACGAGAATTATCGTACACTGAATTTGGCGGCGCAAAAGGCGGCTGATAAGAGTTACTATAAGAACTTCCAGGCAGCCTCGAGGCTCAGGAACACGACGGTGGGCAGAGATGGAGACCTGAAGACAGTTGTTATTGGCGAGGATGTCTTCGCCATGTCCAGAGAATTGGATGGTCACGACCCCCTACTCGTTGTTATTAACTGGTCGAAGTCTCCGGTAACAGTCAGTCTTGATGAGTTCAGTAACTTCAGTGAGAAGCTGCAAGTGCTTGCGTCGGATGTTAATAATGATCTCAAAGTTGGGTGAGTGATTAGGAAATCCAAAATGTTGTCATTCCTTTATCGGCTGAACAATGCCTTCATTACATTATTTAATTTTATTCTTTCAGAGACACTGTATCCAGGGACAGCGTTACCCTGCAGGGTAATGCAGCTTTGATATTAACATCATCTGACATCACTTGCTCCGACTACTCGGACGTCTCAGAAGTTGCCTGTCTAATACCATCCTTAAAATCCTTCTTCAACGTGTAAATCAAGTTGAAATTTTATATGGAAATTTAATAAACGTTCTTCAACAATGTGTTCAAAAATTGTATTCACAGTAGCTAACATTTAATTACCTATTTTTCACATACCTCTTACTTCAAGCATTCCAACAATCACAGGTTTCAAGTCCGACTCTTGACAGCATCAAGCGCCACTGACGCGCGTATGTTGACTTTCTTTAAAATTTCGTTTCGATTTTACATTTATACAATTATATAATTAACAAGCTACACAAATTACTTATATTTTTGTAATATTTAGACAATTGTTTCCTGTAGGTACATAAGAATGCTACAAGCTAAACAGAATGCCACCTGAAGTATCAACTAAGTCAACAGACCCGAACGTCGCAGTGATACAAGTTGAAATCATTTTATGATTATCAGCTAAATTTGCATATCAGAAATCATTGCGCAACAAAAGTGTTTAACCACTTTCGCTGGCAACGAATTGACATATCAGCCTGATAAGCTATAAAAAACAACAACACTCTTGAGACGCGTGGCACGTCTTTTCGGCACACGTGGTTAAAGATCTCGTTATTACCAGCACATACGTATAATCGATGACTGATTGCGTAACGATTAATCAAGTATCAATCCAATCCAGGTCTTGACGAAAGTGTCGGAAGAGTCTGTATAAAATTTGAATCGATCCTGTGAGAAAATTCAGAAAAAGTCGGCCGTAAGTCTGTCTCAAGTCTGGCTGAAGTCGCTCCGCTGGGACTACTATCCCATACTAATTATAAGGCAAAATAATCTGTGAAAGTCTCACCCAGACTTGTTCCAGACTAGATCACCTCCAGACAGCTGGAGACTTCGGAGACACCTGTACTCAGCAACTCCTGTGGGACCTATTCTAAACATGTTCCATACCACTGCCAGACAAGTAAGTCTTACTTGGCCTCACGCCGAAAACTAAAAACACTTCGTGCTTTGATTTCGATATTTTAACTATGATTTATTAAAATTATCCATAACTAATCTTACCAATTGCAAGAACAATTGATATTGCGCTGGTTATTTTTTCAACGACTATTCTGTAACCATTCGTGCCATTTCTTGCTGTTCATTTATATTTGCACTTATTTGGTTATGTGGTATTGAACAATGAAAAAACATCGCGAACCTTAACTAGTCGTATAAATTTATTCTAAGAAATGAAATCAAAATATATTCATGTACAAACACACACGTGCTTAGCCACACAACTGTTATGCAGAGCTACGTGTGGGCTCACTAAGGATTTCCTCTAATCGATTTTTTTAAACGAGCCTTTGTGGATCGACTTTATTTACCTCTGTTAACATCTGTATCGTCACCTGTATTACGAAATTAAAGATTTTTTACGTGAATACGTTATATCGTGATACCTCATACAACGCCAGATATATAAGGGGACTGAAATCCCACGAAATCAGTAACGTTCCGAAAATGATGAATTTGGCATCAAGTCGGTTGACAGTGCCGATTTTCGCTATCATAATCGGAGTCATCGTCCAGGTGGACACTGAGCTCGCATGGTGGCGAACAACAACTCTGTATGTCGGTTGACAGTGCCGATTTTCGCTATCATAGTCGGAGTCATCGTCCAGGCGGACACTGAGCTCGCATGGTGGCGAACAATAACTCTGTACGAGATCTGGCCACGATCATTTAAGGACAGCAATGGAGACGGAATTGGCGATTTGAATGGTAGAAACGACATTACCAATCTATTACGCTTATTCACTATCGAATTTCTGCTTCCTCTTATTTTTCAATTGAAACCCACAAATAATGTAATTTACTCTATATGAGGATATGAACATTTTTTAATTATTTTGTAAGGAAAATAAAAGAGACTGTATTATCATATGACTCTTTCGATACGGAGTTTTCGTAAGTTCTTACGTAAAAAAAATTTGATTCAAAGAGTAGCCTGTCGAAAATTATTTATTTATATTATTATTTAACGTCAAAATTTATAATCGTATCTATAAAAGAAATTGTAATGCAATATCACTGTGATGTTAATTAGTATAAACGTTACCAGGCATTAAAAGCAAATTGGACTACCTAAGCGAGCTGGACATAGGGGCGATATGGATTCATCAGTTGTTATACGGCAACCACTAGGGATCCTCAGCGTACACCTTTCCAATGGGATAATACTACGTCGGCAGGTCAGTTATCAATTGGAGGTTCGATTATATTATATTTCAGTGAAATATACTGCATCAAGTCGGTTGACAGTGCCGATTTTCGCTATCATAGTCGGAGTCATCGTCCAGGCGGACACTGAGCTCGCATGGTGGCGAACAATAACTCTGTACGAGATCTGGCCACGATCATTTAAGGACAGCAATGGAGACGGAATTGGCGATTTGAATGGTAGAAACGACATTACCAATCTATTACGCTTATTCACTATCGAATTTCTGCTTCCTCTTATTTTTCAATTGAACCCCACAAATAATGTAACTTAGTCTATATGAGGATATGAACATTTTTTTATTATTTTCTAAAGAAGATAAAAGAGACTGTATTATCATATGACTCTTTCGATACGGAGTTTTCGTAAGTTCTTACGTAAAAAAAATTTGATCCAAACAGTAGCCTGTCGAAAATTATTTATTTATATTATTATTTAACGTCAAAATTTATAATCGTATCTATAAAAGAAATTGTAATGCAATATCACTGTGATGTTAATTAGTATAAACGTTACCAGGCATTAAAAGCAAATTGGACTACCTAAGCGAGCTGGACATAGGGGCGATATGGATTCATCAGTTGTTATACGGCAACCACTAGGGATCCTCAGCGTACACCTTTCCAATGGGATAATACTACGTCGGCAGGTCAGTTATCAATTGGAGGTTCGATTATATTATATTTCAGTGAAATATACTGCAATGTTATTTTTACTTTGTTAGGATTCTCCACAAACACCTCGGTGTACTTGAAAGTGAACGAGAATTATCGTACACTGAATTTAGCGGCGCAAAAGGAGGCTGATAAAAGTTACTTTAAGAACTTCCAGGCTGCCGCGCGGCTCAGAAACACGACGGTCGGTAAGTTAGGAGATCTGAGGACACGTCTTATCGACGACGTCGTCTTGGCCTTCTCCAGGGAATTGGATGGTTACGATCCCTTACTCGTTGTTATCAATTGGTCAAATTCTTCGGTAACAGTCAGTCTTGATGAGTTCAGTAGCTTCAGTGAGAATCTGCAAGTGTTGCTCACGAGTGTGCATAGTAATATCGCCGTTGGGCGAGTGATTGGAAAATGAAAATTTGTGCTATTCCTTTATCGCCATTCCGATGCCTTCTTTATATTAATTGAATACTAAATATGCTCTGTGTACTGGAATAAGGAAAAATCTGCTCATTGCTTATTAGAATCGACTGTATTGCGCGCCGCTTTCCTCAAGTTCGACGTAGTACCTTCACGCTCCGCCGAGGCGCCACTAGTTTCAAACCTAAAATTAAACTCGGGCTCAGCCACCTCAGGGCATGTAGCTTGTAATCTGACGAGTGTTCGGAAAGACGATTGGTCTGGCGCATCTCCTGCTTGGTGAAGTCAGCCACAAAGAATGAAAGGGGAGAAAGGAAAGACAGTTGGAAAAAGCGTCCAGCCATACACTACAAACAGCACAGCTGCTGGCCCCTGGTGGTCAAACTGAATACTAGTTCTGAAACAATTATACAAAATTATAAAATCTAATGACTGATGGGTCAGTTTGGTAAATGGCGATTAAAAATATGTTGAAGTCCTTCGTTAAAAACATCCACTAATCTATTTTCGTAAAAAAATAAATATCCGTAACTGTTAATTGTGCAAAACAAACGCTTGAGATAGAGAGCGAAATGGAGGAAGAAGAAAGGACGACGATCGACGAACTTTGCCGAGCGTCTCCGAAGAAGATCCGATGACTTCGTGCAGTCTCGGCGTTCAGGGGAAATAAAGAATCCCCCAAAAAACACTTACGTGTAAAAAACTACGCCAAGTACAGGAGTGCTGTGTATTCCTCTAATAAAAAGTATTGATATCAGATTATGGAGGCCAAGTACATAAGTCACTACATGTTTGCCTATTATATGATCTAGCACTGGCCCATCATTTTAATTGTATTTTCAAAATTTCTTATAACGTTTTCACTACTCTTTTACATTACTACTGCTTCCTGTAGTTGATTATGATGTAATGGTCATTTAATAATTAATGAAACTTTAGGTGATTCCATATCGAGTACTACTTGGCGGGTTCGTGCATTTCTCGACATAAATTCGTGTTCACTATGCCAGTCATCAAACTCAAAACCAATGTCAACTTTCTATATACAGCTCATTCACAATAACTCGTCAAAAATAATCACGGTAAAAGCTTAATAACAAACATATAGTTTTAGGATACTATTAGTACGTTCAAAGTAAATACTTTGGAATTCCTGGCACGGATTATGATGCATTATGATGTCGCTAATCAGAAAAATATATTGCGTCGTTCAAAATGTTTAATGGCATATAAATATAATTTGTAAGTCCCTTTTTTTTAGAAATGCATAAAGATATATACAAATTTCATAAAGAAAATGTAATCTTCAGTGCATATAAGCATCGTTAATGGTGTCCAGCTTGTTGAAGCCGTGTGGTAAACGTAAGAGAGGAAAGTGTGCTGGATTATTTACGTACCTCAAGCCGTGCGAACAACAGAGAGGATACTATTGTTTGAGCGAAGCGCCAAAGCGTCGCTCGTTACACACTTTTCTGAACACTCTAGACTTCTACGTCCGACACCTAGATAAAAGAAACTACAGAGCGCAACACTTGGACACCCTGGACTTCCACATCTAACACCTAGATACAAGAAACTACGGAGCGGAACACCTGGACACCCTGAACTTCCACATCCGCCACCTAGATACAGGAAACTACGGAGAGGAACACCTGGACATCCTGTATCTCTGAAAACTGTTACCTAAAATACGAGGAACTATGCCGAAGCACACATATATGTACATACATCCATACACGCGCGCTCCACATGAATGCTATTAAAAACTTAATAATTCTATACTGTTGTGAAAGCACCCTTATACTAACTGGAAATTTAGTATGAACGGTAGCTTCACGTATAAAGTGTATTTGATTGTGTTGTGTATTCGTAAATTACTAACACCATACAGAGTACAAATAGGTAAAGAAGGCACAGCAGTCAGCGCCATCTGTCGTGTAAAAAATGCGATGGACGTGCGAAGACGACGACGACGACGACGACGACGACGGAACTGAAATAAAATCATCTCGCTCGCCATCTCAATACGCCCTGATCTCGTATACTAATCGTATTGAACGTGGTGGCAATCAATTCAGGACCCTCAATTCCTATAGTGAATGTATCAATAACTTTTTCTCATGTATAGCAGTTAATAAGATATTTCGATCCAAACACAGGTATAAGAGTTGACTCAAGTAAAGAGTCTCGGCGCGCTGTGCCCTGTACAGCCGGTTGCCTGTACTTGGCGCGAGACTAGACCGAGTCTCTTGATTTTCGCATTCGTCTTCATTGTTATTTCATAATCTACGACATATCTTCCCGCCTCTCGAAATGTCTCTACTGTGACTTTGTCATTCCTTAAACTCGATTGTGTCCAAGAGTACATTATTATCTGTCAATGTCACATGAATTTAACCTTATTCGAACATGACGTTAGAAACAGGCCTCCTTTGTCTCGATAATCCCTTTTGCAAGCCCATTGAGAACCCTCGAGGCCGTTGTTACGTGGCGCCGCACGTGTATTTACGTATAGCTAACAGGAACAATAAATTCCTCTATTTGAACTCAAGTGCCAGACACGCATCCAGACTGATAGAATTATCGACGAGGATTCAATTCCCGAGAGGCTTTTTAAAAAAATGAATGACGTGAGTAGTCTTTCGTACGTATCAAGTGTGGAAGGTCGATTAGATCATTTTTTATTTCTCACATCGGTCAACCTTCCAATAAGAAACACGTGAGTGGATTAACAGTTGGATTTTCAAGCTTGTTCATTCGCATCATGAAAACCGGCTTAAACCACCCACGCTATTATTTCCATGCGGAAATACCTCACGCACTTTCTTCTCGGCAGTCATTTACAAATTACCATAAAATAATTATAATTGATTGACGTAATAAATTTTCTGTGTCGACAAAAAAAAGGTTAACAATTTTTTATTAACATTTTTTTTAACCTCACCTTTGACCCGGGAGTAGTCTTAGAAATCCCAACTCAATGCTTTTCAAATGTCCAACCAAATCGTGAGACCATTCTCGGGTTGAGCTTTCATAGTACTCTTATACGTGGTCCATCGGCTGATCTATACTGCGTGGACGTTATACACTGTAGGTAAGTGGAATCAATGTGATCTATGAGATCAAGTGATCCACGATGCGTGTAAACGGGTGGACGTCCGACACGCGCTGTGAATACATTATTGCCAAGATGATCTATAAGCGTGACGACGTCGAAAGAATAAGAGACGACGGATGCTGAACAATGGATGCTACGGATACACTGATTCTAAAGATCACGCGTGTCCCATTGTTGCGTCATGTATCTTGTGTCTGACTGGTTCACACAATAGTCAAAAGTCTCGCTTTCCAGTTTGCTCTTTTTCTCTTTTAATACATTTTCTACGTGTATATATATATATATGTAACACCTACCAACGACCCACGCTTTAGTAGGGTTCTGATTTGTGATCTGAAGTCATTCTGCTTTGTCGCTAATCGACCCTGTTACAATGATTTAGGTAACAGACGAGGCCCTTTTTCAAGTAACTAATTGGCCGATTAACCAGTTACCGTCTGGTTGACGCCTAGAGTGATATCTAATTAGCGACGGACTGATTAATTCATAAGTATAAAAAAGTGTATAAAAAATATATAATTTTTAATACACAATTTATGAAAATTTTATTTTTACGTCATTATCCAGATCATGGTACAGCTTATTCAAATTTGCTGCTTCAGAAGTGTCAGAATATATGTTTAGTATAATGAACGACTCACGTATGATAAATCTTAATAATTGCATATCCTTTGTCACATTTATCATAACGCCTCGGGCAGATACCAACTAAGTAGCGACTTTCGCTAATTGCAAATGAGCCTTTTAAGTCGATCGATTTTCGCACGTCTGCTGTTGCGACGTCCTTAAACCATCTAGCTGACACTACGGTTTATTAAGCTAATAGCGCATGAGTTGTCAGTGTAAAAAAAAACTGTTGTATGGACTATGAAAAAAAAAGATAAATAATAATAATAATAATAATAAGCGAAATAAAAGAAATTATTGGAAATCATAGAAAATTCCACAAGGTCCATACGGCCAATAGCAATATCCTATCTGGATGGATTATCTCGATACCCCAGAATCAGTGAGTCATTAGATGTCGTGATAATTAATTATAAACGGCGTGATGAGCTTTTGCGAATAATTATCGTTTATCGATTGGACCGCCCCTGGGAAATTGGCCGTAGCAATTTTCCTCGGGGAATAACGTAGGCAGGTAACCTAATGACGAGGGCGTGTCGCGATCACCGTGTACGCTTTATCGTCATTATCTACATTGCCACAGTAGATTATCGGCTCGTTGTCATTAACGTAATTATCGGTTGAGTAAGTTGCCATTAATTTGGCCACGAAAGAATTCGATTATCCTTGTACTGGATTAGGGCGTGATATTTTATTTAGTTATTTTTATCTCTGTAATGGTATTATCATTGGCATCGTTAAAGCAGCCGATGATCGTTACTTTTTCAAAAGTAATTTTTCTAGTCATTTATCGACAGTCGGTACGAGCATCTATGACTTTCGTTTCTACTTGACAGAACGAGGGTTCGAGTCTGAGCTATTACTCACAATCAAAACATGAGCTGGACTACGTAAGCGTCCATATTACGTACATACAAATGTACGTTAGATAGAAAGTCGAGAAGTTATCTTTGGCCGACGTCTCGTTATCCCAGTAAAAAGCAAAGGCGATCCTTGAGCCTGACAGGAATATGATTGTCGGCCATGATGGAAAA